GATGGATGCAGCTGTGGAAGTACGCTCTATGGTAGTGTACAACCATAGAGCATATTCCCAGAGCGGCATCCGTCCTCCATTGTGGCTTCCAAAGCACGGAGGTAGGATACCACTCTAGGAGTATGCTCTATGGTTGTACACTACCATAGAGCGTACTTCCACAGCTGCATCCATCCTCTGGGCTTTGAAAGCCACCAAAAAAAACCCAAGCGGTGGGCGGCGCCAGCAGCGGAGATGCCCTGGCTCTGCAGGTATTGTAGAGTTAGCCAAGGGGATTGTGAGCCTGCGAGTCGCATGAGTGGGGAACGGAAAAGCCACTCGTGCAACCCCCCTCTCCAGCCATGCAGAACCCCATTCACTCACCTAGGGGCATCCCGAAGGCACCAAGCCGCAGGAGGCGGAGGGCGGCGAACAGTCACTTGCGTTGCTTGGTGCCTTCCAGGTATCGCTAGGTCGGTCAGCGGTACTGTGTCCGGCTGGAAAGGGGAGTTGCCAGGTGGCTGCTCACGAGCGTGGTCACCTCATGGCTGCTGTGTTGCTGCTGCCACAGCGCAACACAGCCATTCGACCCTGAGGCTGTGTCCAGCTCTTTGGGAGCCCAGTCACAAGGGAGCAGCTGCCCAGCAACCCAAAAACAATAACCCCTCCCCTTTAATAAGCCCAAGGCCATATTTGGGTCAAAAAATATAAGACTCTGTCGTATTTTTGGGGAAACACGGTAGTAGAGGCTGTACTAAGAACTTCCAACAGCATCTTGTAAAAGTTAGAGACTAGCTGAGCATGCAGAAAGCATTCCAGAGCTAACCTCTTCCCTTTCTTTATCTAGCTATTTATCTTCACAGCCTGATCTTCAATGGACTGCAGTATTAAAGCAGCAGGCGTCGATCCTGCCTGCTGCTTTCCTAGCATTTGAAGAAAGAAGAATATAGACCTAAAATGTATATCAAATCAACTATCCGAAATATGCATATTTAGTCCATTATAACTAAGACCTGCTTAGAAGAATTACTTTTAGTCTGAATTATTAACTTGAATAATGTGATGAGGTCAGGTAAGTTGTCTCAATTGAACACAGTTTTTCAGTAATAATGTTTGAAGCTTTGAAATAATCATGTACAATCATTATTTCGAAAGCTGTGATAACTTTCTAAACAAGTCTATTACTCTTAAGTTTGTGTGTCGTTATCATACTTGAATTCCCTCTTAGATTTCAATGCTGCGCTAAACATAATCTCTTCAATTGGATTAGCAAACAACACAATAAGCATGAGTACAATACAAAAATCTTTTTGTGCTTTGTATTTTGATGGGCCAAAACTACATAATTTTCTGACTTTTATATCATAAATGCCCCATTTTTT